CAGAAAAACTCGGTACAACTCGGTATTTCTCGGTATAGCTCGGTATAACTCGGTATTGGTCTTCAGAGAACGGTATTCCTCATTATTATCAAATAATACCTAGTTGTACCGAGCAAATACCTAATTTTTTAACGGGAAATTGCCTCTGACCGGACATTCCTCTACGTCCTTGCACCGGACGTAATAAAAGTTTGTAGAAATACCCCTTTCATCTATATACCACGCAACTTTTCTGAAAAAAAAATCTTGTTACATCCATTTTAGCGTGTTTTCTGATACTTTTTCTTCTAAATATGTAGATTTCCTTGATTTGGCAGAGCCATCCAATTCTTATGAGTTTGAATTCGTATTTTGATGTTTTTAACATGGCTTTCTCAAACTCTACTGTACCATGGTCCCTGTCTCCAGGCCGGGCAATTTCATGAACTCAGACAACATGCTTGGTTTTTTAATTTATGGATTGAAGTGATAGAATCTCACATTTATTTGTTGCATTACTGCAGTTGATGTACAAGGATCACAGGAAAGAGAGGGTGGAGTTGCTTAGAGAACTCTTATCGACTGGGGTTGATCTGCATCCACTTCCAGTTCTTAACAAGGTGACTCCTCTGTACTCTTTTTTATTTATAGGTGAAAGGTATGTGAAAAATTAGAGCTTTCTGTTATGTGAAGTTTTCCTCACTTTCTAATTGGAGTGAATAATGGAAGGAGAGCAGAGAAGGCTGAAATATTTAATGTAATTGTATTTCTTAAATCGTTACCTTGTTTAGTTGGTTTGCACCATCTCTTTGACCCTGTCAATAAGCGAACACAATGCTGTGGTTAAGTAAACCATGACCTTGTCATGTCAGTAACATCATTATCATCGTTAATTAACATAAATTTCATCTCAACTGTTTGAGATTTGCTTTACACATTCTTGCTGGTGTAATTGTTCCTCTTGATGTTAAATATTTTACACCTTTTTTTTCACAATTTCCATATTTTCATACTTATCTATCGCCATTAATTTTAGGTCCAACTATTTATCAGAGTGGTATTGGCTTTAGCTTTGAAGTATAAATCTAATATTATCAGTCAGTTGAATTTTTATTATTTGTGTCACGGGCTAGAAAATTCACTGAGTAATGTTATAGGTTTTGCGTCTTAGTTTTATACGAAGATCTTGCATACAAACAGATAAGTGAAAGAGCTTAGCTATGATGAACAGACAGACACAACGGCATGACACGGACACGGGACACATAATTTATTAAAAATATAGGATACAGACACGGGTTGTACACGATACTATAATTTTTATATTTCAAAAATAGTGTATAAAAATTGAATAAGTATAATATTAAAATAAATTTATAAATAACAAGTTATTGAATTAGAGTTTGTGTTTAAAATGATTAATATTGAGATATCGAGAGGTGGGCATTGATATCGTGTATTAGGCATTGAGAGAGGAGACAACAATACTGTCGAGAGTTAGACATCGATGTTATGAAGTATCGAGCGTCAATGTCAAGAGGGCATCTATCGTCGGTGTTCAGAGGGTGTTGGTCATCAATGTTAAGAAGACGTTGGACAAAGATGATTTATCAAGTTGTGGGTGTAGAAATTACTAGCGTCATGTCAAGACAGTGTCCGACTTTGATGTTGAGATGACTTTGAAATGTTGATATTGTAATGAAGTCAGACGTTGATGTTGAGATGACATCAGGCATTATTGTGAAACTAAAATCGCGACCCACCAAAGAGAAATGAAAATGAGAATATTTGATTATTGGTGTATTGAGTGTGGATAGAATATAATAAATTTAGTTTTAATTTTTTAAATAAAAAAAAAATTAAATACAAGAAATTATATTTAAAAAATTCATAAATCTCTAAGGCACGCATGTCGGACAAGAGTGTCTAGTTTATATTTAATATTTTTTTAATCAGGCGCGTTTTCAGTGTGTCTGACACGTGTCAGAAGAGTGATGGATGTGTGTCATGTCGGATACTTGTTGGACACCACACGCCTCTTTGAGGAGAAGTGTCGGTGCATCATAGGAGCTTAGATAACAGTAAAGATTTTTTATGTGAAAAACCCAGAAAGGGAAAAACCACAAAGCCTTGCTCTATTGAAATAATTCCACTATGTATGTGTGAATTGCAAAAATTGGCCTCTCCCTTTACTTGGGGATGGTAAAATTACGGGAGTTTGAAGAATTGTTAAAAAGAGTTGTAGAGTCCGTATGAATGTTAGGGGCCGGATGACATTGGATTTGATGACGGTGGTCCGATGAACGAGGTTCGATTGCGGCGGTTGGCCAGCAAAAGATATTGTGGTGGTAGTCGTATGATAAAGGATCGACGACAACGGTCAGCTAACGAAAGCTCAACGACGATAGTTGGGCGGAGATCTGACAGCAGTGGCCATACATAGGTTCGATGGTGGCTGCCAAGGAACGAAATTCATAAGGAGATTGTCGGGAGGAGGTTCGGTGGCGGCGGTCCATTGTATGTTCAGTGGATGGGTGGAGGTCGAGTAGCAAAAGTCTAACGGCAGCCGTTGGGCGACGAAAGTCTGGCAATGATGGTTGGATTGAGATCTAGTGACGGTAGCCGGGTAGAGGTCCAACATTGTCGGTTAGGTGACAAAAGGTTTGACTGCAATGGTTTGGTGGCAGAGTTCTGATAGCGACAGTTGGCCGGTGAAAGTCCGATGATGGTCGTTGGCGAAAGTTCAACGAAGGCGGATGGCCGGAGAAAGTGTCGATGATGGAGACTGGGTGATGAAGGTCCGACGTCGGTGATTGACCGACGATGGTTTTTGGGAAGGGTGCTCAGGTGGAGCTATGAGATTCTTTGAGCCTTTAAACTCACTTGAATCTCTAGCCAATGGTGCCCTTCATATAGAAAGTAGGCCTATTTATATAGATTTTTGAAAGTTGTATGCCCTATAAATATTGAGAATTTTTGGAGCACTTTATCGGACAATCTATATTGATTATCTTCTTTATCGAGTGTTTATTCAGTATTTAAATGCCTTAATAATATCAGAATTAGGTGATCTTGAGATCATTGTATCCGTCTTGTTGAGCTGCTCAATTCAACTATAAGCATGTCAAATTTGAGATCATTTAATCATCCAATTAAGTCATGAAGTTTTCAACTGTACTTTTGACCCTTGATTTGAGCTTATTCGAGATTGGATTAGACTATTTTTGGCATCGTTGAGTTCATCTTATTGAGATTGTTAGGAATTAGTCCAATTTTAGGATTGTTGTTCCTTAGGATCATGTTATCTTAGTAGTTTCTTTCTTCTATAAGTAGAAGAGAATGTAGACCCAAGTGGATCCATAGAAGCAAGCCAAGCAATAAAAATTAATTTTGAGTTCAGTTCTCTCTCCCTCCCCCCCCCCACTAGCGTCATACATCAATGCCAAGACAGTGTCCGACTTTGATGTTGAGATGGCTTTGAAATGTTGATGTTGTAATGAAGTCAGACGTTGATGTTGAGATGACATCAAGCATTATTGTGAAACTAAAGTCGCGACCCATCAAAGAGAAATGAAAATGAGAATATTCGATAATTGGTGTATTGAGTGTGGATAGAATATAATAAATTTAGTTTTAATTTTTTAAATAAAAAAAAAATTTAAATACAAGAAATTAGATTTAAAAAATTCATAAAATCTTTAAGGCACGCATGTCGACAAGAGTGTCCAGTTTATATTTAATATTTTTTTAATCAGACGCGTTTTCAGTGTGTCTGACACGTGTCAGAAGAGTGTTGGATGTGTGTCTTGTCGGATACATGTTGGACACCACACGCCTCTTTGAGGAGAAGTGTCGGTGCATCATAGGAGCTTAGATAACACTAAAGATTTTTATGTGGAAAATCCAGAAAGGGAAAAACCACAAAGCCTTGCTCTGCTGAAATAATTCCACTATGTATGTGTGAATTGCAAAAATTGGCCTCTCCCTTTACTTGGGGATGGTAAAATTACGGGAGTTCGAAGAATTGATAAAAAGAGTTGTAGAGTCCGTATTAATGTTAGGGGCCGGATGACCTTGGATTTGATGACGGTGGTCCGATGAACGAGGTTCGATTGCGGAGGTTGGCCAGCGAAAGATATTGTGTTGTTAGTCGTACGATAAAGGATCGACGACAACGGTTAGCTGACAAAAGCTCAACGACGATGGTTGGACGGAGATCTGACAGCAGTGGCCATGTATAGGTTCGATGGTGGCTGCCAAGGAATGAAATTCATAAGGAGATTGTCGGGAGGAGGTTCGGAGGCGGCGACCCATTGTATGTTCAGTTGATTGGTGGAGGTCGAGTAGCAAAAGTCTAACGGCAGCCGTCGGGCGACAAAAGTCTGGCAATGATGGTTGGATTGAGGTCTAGCGGCGGTAGCCGGGTAGAGGTCTAACATTGTCGGTTGGGTGAGAAAAGGTTCGACTGCAATGGTTGGGTGGCAGAGTTCTGATAGTGACAGTTGGCCGGTGAAAGTCCGATGATCATCGTCGGTGAAAGTTCAACGAAGGCGGATGGCCGGAGAAAGTGTCGATGATGGAGACTAGGTGATGAAGGTTCGACGTCGGTGATTGACCGACGATGGTTTGTGGGAAGGGTGCTCAGGTGGAGCTATGAGATTCTTTGAGCCTTTAAACTCACTTGAATCTCTAGCCAATGGTCCCCTTCATATAGAAAGTAGGCCTATTTATATAGATTTTTGAAAGTTGTATGCCCTATAAATATTGAGAAAATTTGGAGCACTTTATCGGACAACCTATATTGATTATCTTCATTATCGAGTGTTTCTTCAGTATTTAAGTGCCTTAATAATATCAAAATTAGGTGATCTTGAGATCATTGTATTCGTCTTGTTGAGTTGCTCAATTCAACTATAAGCATGTCAAATTTGAGATCATTTAATCATCCAATTAAGTCATGAAGTTTTCAACTATACTTTTGACCCTTCATTTGGGCTTATTCGAGATTAGATTAGACTATTTTTGGCATCGTTGAGTTCATCTTATTGAGTTAGGAATTGGTCCAATTTTAGGATTGTTGTTCCTTAGGATCATGTTATCTTAGTAGTTTCTTTCTTCTATAAGAAGAAGAGAATGTAGACCCAAGTGGAGCCATATAAGCAAGCCAATCAATAAAAATTAATTTTGAGTTCAGTTCTCTCTCCCTCCCCCCCTCTCACTCCCTCTCTTCCAAGAAGCTCAAGAATAGCTTCTTCTTCCTCCAAGAAATTTTAATAAACTGGTATCAAAGCCTCGTCACTCCTCTTGATGTCTGACACGATATCTACGCCCAACTATTGGCATCATAATATTAATAATTTAAAGCATATATTATAATTAAATGGCTTATTATTTTTCAATTATTCTTAGTATTCTACTTATTCAATTTCTATATACTATTTTTTGATATAAAAATTATAATACTATGTCTAACCTATGTGCGAATGTGCGATGCTTGGAGTTTTGATTTTTGATCTTTGCAAGCAAGAGCTCTTATTTATGTATTTTAAGACCTATGATAATAATGTTTTCATTTTCTTTTTTTTTCCCTCTCTTTTATAATTATTGTTTTTTTACTTAAGGATAAAATATATATAATTTTTTAAGATAGTATTCTTATGGGAAGGTAGAAAAGATGCCTAGAAAACTTACATATCATCTTCATGCGATGCTTGGAGTTTTGATTTTTGATCTTTGCAAGCAAGAGCTCTTATTTATGTATTTTAAGACCTATGATAATAATGTTTTCATTTTCTTTTTTTTTCCCTCTCTTTTATAATTATTGTTTTTTTACTTAAGGATAAAATATATATAATTTTTTAAGATAGTATTCTTATGGGAAGGTAGAAAAGATGCCTAGAAAATTTACATATCATCTTCATCTATCAAAATTCATAAAATGTCTCATTAAATATCTCATATTTTATTTAGATAATTTTTTTGTTCTCTAAGTCGTAAATCCGAGTCATACATGTTACAATTTATCTCTCATTGTTAATCACTAAAAAAATTACATGCTTATGCTGAATTTATTATCTTCAAATTAATCATAGTATGCATAGCATGGGTGGATGTACGTACACTCTCGAGTGACCGTATTTTAATATTTTAACTTGTTTTGGCGCAAACTGTGTGAATAATAATTTTATATTTACAATATTAAGGAGTGTGATATTATTAATTATCAATTATTATTATACAGGATAAAACAATAAATAGTAGCCATTGTTGGATCATTGCCGTCTATTCGTTACTATGGGACCATTCTCGTTTGATCATCGCCATTAGACCTTTGTCTCCCAACTATCCTCACAAACTATTGCCTGACCACCATCATAGAACTGTAGTCACCCAACTGTCATCATCGGACCTTCGCTATCTAACAGCTATCGTCAGATCACTACACTATCACCACCATTGTATTTACACCGTCCGACTATCATTGTTGGAATACCTCTGCCTTTCTTCACATGTTGATCGCACCATATTTTTTACCAATTCTCTATACTCATTAAGATAAGAGACGGAGAAGCATTTATAATCAACACTCACATGATGAAATTATTTCAGCTGGGCAAAGCTTCGTCATTTTTCCCCTTTTTTTGATTTTCCATGTAAAAAATCTGTGTTATCTATGTTCTTTTCATTTACTTTTTGGCATGTTGGATCCTTATACAAAATTAGAATGCAAAATTCTCTTATTAGTAAGCATTGCTTTACTCCGCGCAAAAAAATAATATTTGCTCATAAGACTGCCCTTGCCCATAGAACTTTGCAAGCATTGCACATAATCCTGTCTTCTAGTTCCATGAAGTTGCCACTTACAAAAGAAACTGAACTTCATTGTCAAGGCATTTAAAAATACTGTGTTATTTTGCTGTTTTTCATCCTCTTCGGTCCTCATTTTGTGAAATATGGAAGTATTTCAATTAGGGGTGTATGTGAGCTGAGTTAATTTATGATTCGCTCCTATTTAACTTGTTATTGAGCTCACAAGCTACGCTTATCAAGTTGCCAGCTCAAAACTCTAGTTAAAATTATTATTTATATATTGTATGCACTCAAGTTTGACTTGTCAGCTCACAAGCAGGCTCAAGCAAACTAAGGTCATCTATTTCGAGTTCAAATCCTTAATCCCATTTCTCTCGTGTTAAGCAACTCCCGATGGCTCACGAATTCTTAAACCTAGACCCCCAAGTGTCACAATTTCCTCTTCTTCTTTAAATGTAGTTGGTCCATTAATGCCTTATTTAGTGAGCTCGAATCACAAAATTGATGTACATGCCTTCACCAACAAGCTCTCATTGTGATGCCTTCTTCAGCAAGTTATTGATGTCGTTGATGCCTTCTCCAATGAGCTATTGCCACCATCGATGCCTACTCTAGCGAGCTCTTATTGTGTTATTGAGCATTTGGGGGAATTTGAGCACATGAGTTGAGCTCAAACCCCTTGTTAATCCAACAAGCTGAGTTCGAGCTTAATATATGAGCTCGCCTCGAGCTTGATCTTGCCCTTAATTTGGCGAGTCCAGCTCGAGCTAATCATGAGTCGGTCTTGACTTGACCCATTTATATCTCTGAGTACAGCTAATTTTAGTAGAACTACCCGGTAATTTATGTGATGTAAGAAATGCTTATAATTTTTAGTGCGGAAAGTTTGGTAGTCCCTTGCTTTATGATTTCAAATTTGTTCTTTATAGGAATACTTCTCCTGCAATTATGTGAAAATGTTTTTATTTCTCTACAGGATATTCTTATAATTTGGGGTGATAAGGACAATGTTTTCCCCATTTCGCTTGCTCATCGGTTACACAGGTATGGTTCATTCTTGAATGTGCATCACATTCTCGTTGATCTCAATAAATACTTCGCATTGCAAAATATACAAATCCAGTAAAAGAAAATGCAGCAGTATGTATAGTCTGATGGTTATTAGCTCATTTAGAACAGAGTAAGGCTTCGTTTGGGATGGCTTTCTTGCTGCTTTGTAAAACAGTTTTTTGGTACAAAAAATTTTTTGAACTAAAGATTTTTGTGCTAGAAAGTTGCTTTAGAAATTAACAAGAAAGCCGCTCCAACAAAGACTAAATCAAATTCGAACAAATTATAATTTTGAGAACATTGATAGCTTTATTTTGTACCAAAATACACTAACAACAGTATATTTGCAAACAAACTACTTAATAGTATTCCAGAGCAAATTATAGCTCTGGCCCTTATGATGGATTAATTATTCTGTGCGGATGCTGAACGTCGTCCGGAGATCAATCAGAATGCCTCACGCCACCCCTATGCTCGGTACAGGTGACGTGGCACATTCTGGGTGGTCTTCATATGGCTTTTTGCGTCCGGCTTCCGCACATAATAGTTACTCCTTATGATGACACCTATTTTCTGAAATTGTCTGAGTAAATCCAAAGTAAACTTTTGATACCAACATAAGAATTACAAAATTTAAGACACCTGAGCTCCACTTTCTAAGTATTCAACTGGACATAAAAAGCTCTTCCCCCCTTAATAAAAACAGACATTTGGGGCAAAATGCAAGGCTAGAAGTGATCAAGGATGTGGGGCATGCATTGCAGTTGGAGAAACCGAAAATTGTAAATCAGCTAATTGAGGGGTTCATATTAGAATCTGTGAAGTAGCTATCTGAATAAATGTGTGCAGCTTACAGTTGTTGTATGATTATGCTGATTATTGTAAGAAAAAAAAAATCAGAGAAGGGAAGAAAAATCTCTCTCTCTATCAAAATGTAAGTAATCCTGGTGCAAAATCTTGTTGTCTATAACTTCATTGCTGGTCTATCTTCTTTTGTGGAAATGATTTTGATTTAGGGATTATAGGATCTTGATGGTGAACACAATAACTTGATTGGTAACTTCTTTCATCGAAGGGTGGAATGTGCAGGAGAGTTTTAAAGAGAGAGGAGATATCTTGGGGTTGAGGGAGGCTTTGACCTAGGGTTAATGGAGCCTAGCTTGGAGTAAATGGGAATTGTGTTGGGAGAGAGGCATAGGAGAGGGAAAATATAATTTAGGAATTATGGAGGGACTACTTGCTTAGTTTCATCAAAGAATAGAGTAACTAAATTATAGTTTTTATTCAAAGAATATAAAAGTACAAGATACAATCATTTTTATGGGTTTGCTTAAAGCCTAGTTAAGTTTGAAAAGTTGGAACGTGCGGGGCAGCTCGGTGGTTGAGCACAGACAATGCCTCCCGCCGGCTCCCGTTTGATCTCTAAACGGCCCAAAAAAAAGTTTGAAAAATTTTATGAGCTAATACATTATTATTCTATGGATTGATGATTTGCCTTAAGATAAATAGAAAGAAAATAAGCAAAATATTATAAAATTTATAACTTTCATAAATAACAGTTCAGCCAAGCCAAATAAGACATGTGGAATGGTCTTGAAATTGAGCAACATATAAAGGTCTTCACTTGATTGATGTGGTTAACCTTCTCATTAAGGGAGCTCAATTTAAGATTTTTAATTTTCCTTTTGGACGTAAGAGGTTGTCCACGTGCTTGATTGGAACAATTATTAGGTCATCCGATCGGACGTAGAGGAACGTCTGGTCGGCACTAAAATCCAGCCAAAATACTCAGTATGTGCTCGGTATTGCTAGTTATTATTTGGTAATAACGAGGAATACCACTCTGTGAAGACCAATACCGAGTTATACCGAGCTATACCGAGCAATAAACTCGGTATTTTTTTGTATAACTCGGTATTGCTCAATATAGCTCGGTATAACTCGGTATTAGGTCTTCACATGATGGTATTCCTCGTTATTGTTTGGTATTGCTCGGTATTTCTCTTTTTTTGGCGCGATTTTAGCTCTGACCGAAAGTAGCTCTACGTCCGGTCGGAGGACCTAATAATTGTTTGCTTGATTGGGAGAGATTATTCTGTGCGGTGTCTGAACGCGTTTGGAGGTCAATCCAGATGCACCATGTCATCTAATGTACTGTACATTGGTTAGGTGTCGCGTCTGAATTAACGTCCGGACACCGCAATAATAATTTTTCCTTGTTTGGAGAGTTGTGTATGATGTTGAACTTAGATTTTAATAAAATATCTTGGTTTATAATCTTGTCATTAGCTTTTGTGTTGACATTTTATTAGCCCCTCTAGTTATTTGTGTAAGGTTAGAAAATAGGTTTTAAAAATAGTTAAATTTCATAGTTCTATAATCATTCGAGTTTAGTTAGAATTTGATATTAGTTTTAAATTTCGTAAATGCTCTTAAAACTCCTTTAATATAGTAGTTGCATTCAATATCAAAAATTGACGAATTGGTATTTAAAAAAAATATCTGGCCCAGAACATACGCTTAGGTGCATAACTTTAATTATGCAAGGGCATGAGAAAACAAAAGAACAAATAATTCATAACGATTTTTATATGATTAAACCTTGTCATTTTTTTGGCGTATGACCTATCTTTATGCCAAATTAAGGGTGCAAGTGAGCACGAACTGACTTGACATCGACTTGTTAAAAAGCTCGTGAGTCTGGCTTATCGTGCAATGAGGTCGAGCTTGAGTTCAAAGTCGAGCTCAATGAGGCTCAGCTCATGAGCTTGTGAGCCCGGTCATCATTAGTTAATTATTTGATAAAATAATTATATATTAAAGATGGACTGACTTGCTAGCAATTCAAATGACCCGAACCTTGACACGTAAACATATTTTTGTTAATTTTTTAAATAAATTTTTAACAATAAATTTAGCATATTTGATCATCAATAAAAGATTTTCCGTGCAAGTAAAAAATTTAAGAAAATAAAATATTAAACAAGCCATTTTTGAGTTAAAAATTGGTTTTCAGGTCATACCCAAATATGACCTACTTAATGAACGGGCTAAAAAACTAACCTGAAACAAACTTGTTTATTAAACGGATCAATTTGTACTCGAATTTTTTGAATCGAGTTTAAGTCGAGTTGATAGACCGAGTCATTTATCGACAACCTTAGACTCCGTAGGTGCTCGCAATTGGTAGTAATTGGAGCTTTCCATGAATGTTGCGGATTCAGACGAGTTGAATTCTTCTAAATTGGCTCTTCACAAAATTTTATTTTATTTTATTTTTCGACAAAGCCAACACAACAAAAAACACATGAAAAAATGAATGTAATGCGCTTTTAATACTTCCAACCAAACAACTTTCATAAAATAAATGAATAGAATTAATTTAATGTGATTTATAATGTCAAAATGTTTATTTAGTAAAAAAAGAACTAAAAATCATTTAATAATAATATATATATTTCTTGGAATTGTACATATAAAAAATAACTTTGTTAAACTTATCCATCATTAGTTTATACATTATGTTTCAATACTTAATTGACAATTTACTAAATAGAAAAATACATATAAATCTTGAAATCAAGTGAATAGCAAAAAATATAAGTTTATTAAAATTTAATTACATAAATATTATCGTAAAAAATTAATATACCAAATTACTACATACAAAACATTTATATTAATATGTTTATTAAAGATGGTTCACATCTATAATAAAACATTTTATGTTTTTTTTTTTAATTTTTTTTAAAAACATTTTATGTAATGTTATGTTATTTTATATAACAATTTTTTTTTATTACGAAGCAATAAACAATTTATTCAATTGAAGAGAGAGAGAGAGAGTCTATTTATTCAATTGATATAATTTTGCAATTTAAGACATTTAATATAAAAATATAAAATAAACAACTTAATATATAAAATATTTAAAAGAAAGTGAAGAAGAATTATATTAAGATATAATTTTTAGTTTAAAAATTTATATCATGATATAATATTGCAATGATGATCTAAACTCCTCACAATAAATTATTTTTTCTACAAGGAAAAATAAGATCTCTCTAATAATATTTGTGCAACAGTGCAATGTGAAATGTTGACGGAAAAAATTAAGCATCTAATCTTTCATTATGATTTTTTATTATGAAGTTCCGAAACTGATTCCTTCACGCAGAACAAAAATATAGAAAAAAATACTCACAAAAAACAAATCTCTATCTCCCTAACTTATTTCTTAATATTATTTTTGTCTCTCTCTTCATTTTGTGAGGTCATCCATTGGCAGGCCAAGGTAGCATAGTCAATCGTACTTCATGATTAAAATTATAGTAAATTTTGATTTGATAATTAATATGTCACTATCGGGTCAAAATGGATTCATGAGTCAACTTGATTTCTGCCCGTTTAATTAATGGATCTAAATTTTGGACTCAAATCCGATCCATTATAAAATATGCTAACTTGAGTCTAAATTTTTTTAGATTAGGTCTAGGCCATATTGACATATTTGGTCATTTATTGTCGACTAAAAATCTACACAAATCATCTCAAACCATAGGATCAATCTCATGCACTCAAGCAAAACTAACTAGCTCGGCATGTTTAACCAAAAGAGGATATATTAATTATTGGAAATTAAGTAACTACAACAACCAAAGAACGCAACTCATCTTAATCTATTTATTGGAAGCTTTGACTATCAATTTATATTAAGAGGTCTTTGCCAAAACTTCGAACGTAAGACCTTTTTGTTGGTGACCAAAACTAACAACCAATAAATTAGGTTGAACTGAGTCTGTTTTCCTTAACTTTTCTTTTCCTTCCTCCTTCAAACAGTTCCATGATACTTGCAAGATTTTAATGCCTTCTGTATACTACATAAAACAAAGCTTTTTCTGAGCCTTCCTCTCTCTCCCCTTCAAACTTCGAAAATTCATCATTAGAGTAGTCCGAGCAGCACGAAATGCTCTATTGGTTCCTGGACCATAAAATATTGCGAAGACGACTTCTTTGTAGAATCCAGCAAACTTTGTTCTCTTAAAAAAATCTGAAAAAAAAAAGAGAGAACATTTCAGCTTTCAATTTTTTACTTTGCGCTCTGCCTGCAACTTATTCTTTGTTTTTTTCTCAACAAAATACATGAACCAACTGTTGTTACCTCTTCCAATTCCAATTTCGAATCTTCTCTTCTACCTTACAACAGCATTTTACTCATCTTCTTCTACTGGTTTGCAAGAAGAAAATTGACATTTGGCAGCATATATATATAAATATAAGAGAATAGTTTCAGGTTCTTTGCTTGCTCTAAATTAAAAACAGTTTTCAATAGTTTTGTCTTTTAAGAAAGTATATTGGATCAGTCGCAGCAGTCCGTAGATTCTATCTCTGCAAAGTTTCATCTTAATCAGGCAAATTCTGCAACACTTCACACTCTAATATTGGCCAGCAAAAGAACATATAATACGACTTCGCCTTTATCTTATTCACTGTCATCGATCTATCTGGAAATTGTAAATGTCGTCCGAATTTGTTTTTGTTCATAAATGGAATGAGCTTCTAAAGAAGATGAGTTTAATCATTAATGAGTTTATTATTACTTAATTTTAATATCATTAAGGCATTGATTTAGATGTTCAAAGAAGTTTTGAAATGATTAAGAAGGTTATTATCAAACTGCTTAATGAAGAACCCAAGAATTTATTGAAAATGAGGATATGATCCAAAAATTTATAAATAGGACATATTTCTATCAATTTAAGGGCATTTAACAAGGAAAAGTTTTGTTATCCGTAGATGATTTTACAGGTGTTTTTTATTTACATCTATTAGTCATCGATCAACCCAAAGCTAGCTTGTTAACTTTGTCGCTCAACATCCTTCGTTGCTCATTATTTGGAGAAATTATTACATGCGGAGTCCGAACTCCAATGTGTTCTTTGAAGTCCGTATGAGAGTTACGTACATCTAGACTCTGCACGTAATAATTTCTTAATTATTCG